GTGCGTGCGTGTGTGTGTGTGTGTGTGTGTGTGTGTGTGTGTGTTGGGTCCATGAAAGTTTTGGCTAAGCGGGCAGCGTACGTTGAAATTAGTTGCAAAAGAACTTTTGCGTTTGCCTCTCGTTGGAGTGTCTCAAATTTAATTTGCGAATGACAAAGGTTCGTTCATTAGGTCTCTACATACTACATAGCATATGCTATTTTAATTAGAGCAAGACAGCCAGCCAGACAAAGAGCGAAAGAGAGAGGAAGTGAGATAAAGCGAAACAGTATTGCAATCGAGTGCAATTTAGTGTAGTTTATTAAAAGTTGAGGAATTAGCCGAGCTGATATAACAGTTGTATAAATATAAATCAAATCTGCATATAAACAAATATGAATTGTTACATTCACATACAAATAGCCAACAAAGAATCTGGTTTATATGTATTTAAGCACATTAAATCTCATCAGAGCAGCAGGCAGGCAGGCTTCTAGCTTCAGGCATAATCAATACAAAGATGCATGAGAAAGCGAAAGCCTTGCTGGTCAAACATATGACACGAAATACACACAAGAATAGATATACAAGCTGAGCTGGACTCGTGTATGGGTGCCACGTGCTGGCATGTAACCGAATCTGCAGTCCAACTCAATTCATTTGGCTTGCGGCACAATCTTCTCTCATGTTTCAATAATATAGGGAAACTGACGAGGCTCATGGCATAAACAGCTAATAAAGGCAACAGACCGTTACTAAACCTCAGCTCATCACGCCGTCAACTAAAGCAGTTCAACGGCTTTGACAGAAACTAAATAAATGAATAATTTAAATGCAGTTGAAATACAATTTAAATGCAATTCAAATGCAATTTCACATTCAAATTGAATATTAATTCTTACTTCGACATCAACTGATTTGATAAAGAGTGTCAAGCTAATGCTAAGCTGGCTCAAATCACAGAAATCATGTTAACAATGCTGGCATTAATCAATATCGCATCGAACTGGTGAGGGCAATTGGCTTAATAAATAAATCAAATAAATGTTACTTGAACTTAATTGAATTATTACACATTTGTCTACATTTTGCCTTGGCTAATTGCTGCAATAATGTCGCACGTGTTTTCTTGGATGCCTACGGGACATACCTTTGCTTACATCTACGACACGCACACACATGCAGAGATAGCTACATATTTGAGTCAGTGAAACATAGTGGATGCCATTATAGAACAAAAGAGACACACACACACATAGACACACACACGTACAGCCACCCACCCAGAGAGCTTGAAGTTAGGGGCAGACTCGCTGGACTCTCACAAGTACCGACAATTATGACAAACATTTCTTCATGGTGGGGCAGAGGCGCCGCCGGACGACCTTTTGCCACAGCAGCAGCAACAACAAAAGCAACAACAACAGCCATAACTAACAAGCTTATATGAATCGCAGGCAAACATACACAAGCATACACTGAGAGAACAAAATGCCGAGCGTATTATTATACGCTAATCGAGTCGAGATTGAAATTCCCAGAGCTATGCCTAAAATTCCCAGTTCAAGACTTTTTGGGTAGCCCAAAATTCCAAAGTTAACTCTTAACTCTTTTGAAACTTGTAAGTTTTGACCTATTTTCCTTTCCTTTAAATTAATCATGTACATATATAGATAATTTCTTTTCAGCATGGATTTCCTTCTTTAAGCCCAAATCTACTTTCATTTCTATACGTAAGTGTTTATAAATGTTTTTTTTATTTTAAGAAAAAACCTATATGAATAATATATCAATTAATTTATTAATTATTAAATTT